AAATATATTTTATTGATTTTTTACAGAGAGGAAGGGAGAGAGATAGAGAGCTAGAAACATCGATGAGAGAGAAACATCGATAAGCTGCCTCCTGCACATCTACTGGGGATGTGCCCGCAACCCAGGTACATGCCCTTGACCAGAATCAAACCAGGGACCTTTCAGTCCACAGACCGACGCTCTATCCACTGAGCCAAACCGGTTTCGGCTGAAATTTTTATTAAAAAGTTTCTTACATACTGTTATATTGGTTGGGCCACAAAAATATTCGTTTTGGGCCGCAAGTTTGACATGCTTGATGTACGTATTGCAAACCTTTTATGGCCTGTTATTAAATATTTGGATCAAACAATTGAAACAGGAATTTTAGGGGTAAAATGGAGCAGTTTTAGAAATTTTGGAAATTAAGGGGACCATGGAGGAAGCACAGAGCTGCAGAGCAGCAGAAGGTATATTTCCATAGAATAGGAAAGCTGAAAAGCTGCAACAAGTACATTTCCATAGAATGAGGGAGCTGGGAACAGCAAAAGGTCTATATTTACAAAATAAAGAGAAGGAAGCCCTTCATCCAGAAGGAGAAGAAAGCCCAAAGGGAACAGGAAAACTATAAGGAAGGAGGCAGAGAGAACCTCACATGGGACATGTGAGGTTTGACCTTTGAGCCCAGGAGTTACTATAGTAACCAGTCTAAGGGAACAGTGACCAATCAGAGGGAATATCCAGGGACCACGATCTGCAGCCTTTATAAGCCATGGGAAAAAGGAACTCAGTGAGACCCTTCCTCCCCTCCCCACGTGGGAGTCCGTTCTGTGGGACTCTTTCCCTCTCCCCATGTGGGAGTCTGTACTTGTCCTTCAATAAATCTCCACCTTTGTATACCACTTTCTGTCCGTGGATTCATTCTTCGATTCCGGCAGACACAGAAACCAGGTTCCAGTCCAAAAATTCCATTTCACAATCAAACCTGTCCTTGATTGCATTCCATGACCACCATACATTGGTATGGATTTTCTGCCCACCAGAGGGAGAAACAACCCTGACACTTTTCCCAATTTATCGTTTATTTCTTGCAGGTCTGCTGAAGGTCCACACTCTGAGTCTATAAAAGACTCAGTCGATAGGAGCAACTCCTGGAAAACTGACTCTCCCAAGCTAACACTGCCCTGGTGGAGACTCGGCTCTCTGTCTGTAACATCCTGTGTCTCTGCCGGGGGACCCACAGCACTGTGACCATCACTAAAACCCACCTTGTGATGTCCAGCCCTGCCCTTTTACTTCCCACCCGCCCCCCACAAGCGTTTCCTGTCTTGCTACTCTAATAGCTTCATATTAGAGCACAAACATCCTTTAACTTTGCATTGGCCGAAGTAGACCTCAATAGTTTACTTTGGTTCTTTCATACAGTTATCTCAAGGTTTTAATAATTATAGTCTACATTGTATTCTAATGACATTGTTCTCTTCTACATCATCCAAGTCGTTTATAAAAACATTAAAGGTCACAAAACCTAAAATTAGAACAATTCCATATGCCCCACAGGTTGGCCCTGAATCACTCAGTCTTCTTAACCTCCTGACCTTCTACTCAGAAAAGAATTTGTGAAAAATTATTCTTTGGTTATTTTTGTGTGTATTATTAACCTCTGGCCAAGGTTGTTTTTATTTTTATATTATTAGCAACTCAGACGCAAGCCCTTCTAAACTCCTCATACTCTTGTTTTAGTACAAAGCACTTCATTAATACAAAATCAAATGTTTTGACTTCCACGTTTTAATCATAACCAGTGTAACAAGTGAAAACAAAAAATACAAAATCATGAACAAAACCTCCATAGAAGCTTGTTAAATGAAGAGGAAGAGCGAAGGGAGTTTTCTTGGTGATAAGTATATGCTGAGCACAACTTACCTATTTTCATTATGATGTCTATTGACTAATTTCTAAAGAAAACCAAGAAAGGTTTGCTCTGCTGAAAATAAGAACCATATTTATAACTTCCCAATTCATGCTGCTGCATTTCAACGTCTATGATGTCCCCAAGGTTCCTTTTTTTAAAAGTTTAGTTTTGCCAAATGTAATAAAATATCTTATTGCAGAGAAACACAAAATTACTGGTTACAAGAGCAGAACTAAAGCAACGTTCCAGAGATTTACACTGGTCCCACACTAAAACCAACCATGTAATCCATTAGGGGACGAGTCTCCCAGAGTTCTAGAAAGTATACCCCTCTGATGTTAAAAGTTAGAAAGGATGATCATTCTTCAATTTCCTAAGCCATTTTATTTAAATTATTATTGTGTGGCATGGTCAAAAATGATGGGCTAAATATTTGAGAAAACTTAATATTCTGTCACAACTTCCAAAAGGAGAACAAATGTTCCTATTCAAGTGAACAGATTTTTTAAAGAATCATGTCGTTCTTCTAAGTACATGATTGGTTTAAGTCATTTGCCACTTTGGGAAGAGAGAAATTCTGAAGAAGTTGGTAAAGTCAAATGTAGATTACATGGCTTTACAAAATGAATAAAAGGATTCAAAGCAGCCAAGTAATTTCATTACTTTGAAAAAGTATTCATATCTTAAAATAATTTGCTATTCATCAAACTATTGAGAGAGAAATGAAATTAACATATTTCAAACACAGCCAGAATACTGAGTTCAATCAAACCATGCAAAGCTCATTTCTTAAGTAATTTATGATTAACAGACTCACTTACCTGGAAGCATATAAGAAAAGAAGGTGATGGGTGGAACTACATCATTCCTCTACTGGGTAAAAATACTTCGGCTTCTCTGCTTGAAATGGAAAGGACTCTAAAATACAAAAAAAATACAAAATAAAATAAAGAAAAGAAATGGGAGGTAGCCCCTGTGAATTTCCATGTCTTAAATAGAGGTGGTAACATTTTAAATCACTTAGGATTTAAAATACAATGCATCTAAAGTATTGCCCCCAAAATTAGAATGGTATTTCTCCCTTCCCTATCTTAACGGGTAAAATAAGAAGCATTTGCTTAAAAAAAAAAAAAAACTCACAGAATCAAGGTTTAATAAATAGTGAAAGCCATGAAGAAGTGTGTGTAAAAGCAAAGCGGAGGACTCATATTTACTTGATAAAGAACATAAAAAAACAATGCATCTAAAGTATTGCCCCCAAAATTAGAATGGTATTTCTCCCTTCCCTATCTTAACGGGTAAAATAAGAAGCATTTGCTTAAAAAAAAAAAAAAACTCACAGAATCAAGGTTTAATAAATAGTGAAAGCCATGAAGAAGTGTGTGTAAAAGCAAAGCGGAGGACTCATATTTACTTGATAAAGAACATAAAAAAATAGAGAGGAGAGGGAAAGAGCAAACCTCGCAAGAAAGAATCGTGCCCCCCGCCCGCGCGCTGCGTCCTACCCAACTCCGGCCGCTCGCGGCACTGGGGCCCCCCGGACTGCCAGGTGGGGCAGGAGCTGAAGTGCTGCCCCCTCTGAAAGGACCGCGCTCGGCGCACCAGGTTTTTGTCTGATGGTTCTATGCAATGATTTAAAAAAACAGCAAACCCTCCTGGAAGTTTTCCACGGGGGAAGGAAAGGGAGCGCACGCCCGAAAGAATCCGGAGGCGGGCAGGAGAGCCAGAGGCCCAGGA